TGACCATCATGATGGCGTAGAGGGCAGAGATCCACTGAGATAGCAGGTCGTGGTGATTCTGCTGTGAGCGGTTTAACCTGCGGGACATGGGCAATGTAACATGGGACAGTTAATTGGTAATAAGCTCAGATTTGGGAGCTGGAGACCTTTGTGAGTCACTTCACTCTACTTTGGCATCAGACCAATGTATATTCCTGGTCAGCTGTCATGCACTTTGTATCCTCTGAGAGTGGCCTGTTTTCCTCAGGGGGAAATAAACACACCAAGGGACCTGTGCATTACTATCCCTGTTGCAGGGTCTGGACCAAGACAGACTGAGATAAAATTTCTGGTGGCATCATTTGCCATAACATGGAGTAATAATATATCTGCCCATCAGCTGATTGTAATGATTTTGAACAGTACTTATTCTCAATGCCTGTCACACGATACATGCTCAATAAATATTGGCTTCCTTCTTTTCTGTCCAGCTATAGTACGTGAGCTTAACGTTCGTTAGTAGATGAGTGAAGGAGAGGATGGCTGGGCTGGGGCTGGCAAATGGAAAATCTGTGTCTTACAGCAGGAAAGAAGCATCAAGTTCCTGCTCTGCTGTCGCATACTCTTGGCTCAGTTTGACATGTGTCCTGTCTCTGGAAGTGGCAGATCATGTGTTGGTGGCTGGCCTAACTGTTTTAGAACTCTGCTCAGGTGTCACTGCTTCTGAGTAAACTTCATATTACTCATGGATTAGCTGTTTCCTCCGCTATTTCTGTACTTTATTCATACTTTATAGAACTATAAATATGTATACAGTATACACAGATCTCCGTGTGGGTGTCATCTCTTGCAGCTTAGTCAGGGACTAATATATCTCGCTAACTCCAGCCTTTGCCTACCTAGGGCCTGGCTGCCTGCCACATCGCAGGCAACGGGTGAAAAAATGTGAGTGAATTCATCAGTTATGACTGGGATCTTCTTTCTCTCCTTTATCTCTATCATCTAGCAATCATTTATCAATCATTTATATTTATTGTGTATCTATCATCTATCTATACATATCACTATATTTTATCTGTATATAATTTATGACTATCATCTATCTATCTGTCAATATCTATTACTATATATCTATTATCTGTCATTCATGTATCACATCTATCTATACATTTTATCATCAATCTATATCATCCATGTATTTCTATTTATCATCTATAATGAAATGGTGATAGTAGATAGGAACTTTGACCGAACAGTATCTGTCACTTGTAAACTGTAAGTTAGCCATCTCTCATTGTTTCCTTCACTGTAATAATACAGTCATTTATGGTCACATGACAATGCTGTTCACTGATTAGATTATAATGGAGCCAAAAATTTCTATCATATAGTGCCAATATAGTTGTCCCAGTGTCCTAGTACAATGCATTCTATGTGTTTGTGATGATGCTGGTGTAAATAAATCTGTTTAGATACCTAAATACTTAGCACTGGGTTGAAATTGCCTACAGTAGTGGTGGTGAACCTATGGCACACATGTTGTTTTCTTTTAAGATGAAAGATGCTAATGCATGAATTGTTTTCTAAACTAAAACCTCAGTATTCCGACTTAATTGCAGTGTTGGCATTTTGCAATAAGTAAGTGGGTTCTGGGTTGCAGTTTGGGCACTGGATCTCTAATTAAAGTGTTTGCCATCATTGGCCTACAGTACGCAGTGCAGTAACTTGCCACCCAAGTGTGTGGACTCAGAGCAATAAGCTTTCTAATAGAACCTCGGTACGCAGCAGGTGGCACTGCCCTGGTTTGTGTATACATTCACCCCATGAAACTGCATAATGATGAATTTCTCAGAATGTGTCCCTCTTGAGGCATGGCTGAGTCTGCCCCTTGAGTATTGTAGGTGAATGAATCAATAAATGTGGAATTTGTAGAATAAAGCCTCGCCCTTAAGAAACACTCAAAAGTGTTAGCTACCATCGTCTATAAGACCCAGTATTTTAACAGCTCTGGTGGTCAGATACTTTGAGTTGGAGTTCTGGTTCCATCTCTTACTGGTTGTATATTCTTGGCAAGGTTGATAATTTGAGTCTATTTCTTCATTTGCAGAGTGGCAATAATGACTTCAGGGGTCCAAGTGGATGAATTAATGAAGTGATGCATGGAAAGTGCTAGTACATCCTCAGAGAGTGCTATTGCTGTTGCTGTTTGATGGTGTTTTATCCAATAGAAGAGTGAACTGAGGAGCCAGGCTGGAAGTCTCATCCAACCACAGCTCCTGCTGGACCACAATGAGTGAGGAGGAATTGTCTTGGGCCACATGTAGTATGGTTAATGTATGTAAGTACAAAACTTCCTTTTTAAAACTACTTATTATTCTATCCCAGGTGTGGCAATCCCTAGGCTGCTCAAGGTAAGAGGTAAACTGGTCCCTACTGCCCACTGTCCTGTGTGTAGCCCTCTGCTGAAGGCTGGCGAGAATCTGTTTCTCCTAACTTGTCTTCCTCCACCTGATGAGAAAATATAGTTGTGTGTCAAGGTTCACCTCTTTGAATCATTTATTTTTAAATATCAGGAACCAAATGCCACTTTAGGAAGATTTTAACAGAAGCCCAGAAAGGCTTGGCTTCCCATTCTCCATCCTGGCCGGAGTCCTCTGGTTATAGCCTAATGGTACCTACAGGAGGAAGCAGCACAGCATCCTTAGAACCAAAACAACTGGTGAGAGATGAAATCTGGCAAATCAGCTTTCAGATAGGAGGTCACCAGAGGATTTGCTTCTGGGTGCTGCTAACTATGAAGCCATCCTGAGACTCAAGGAGCTTCAGAATGTAAAATTCTACCTCAGCATTAGGTGAAGAGCTGGAAAGTGATGAAGACAGTGGTTACTGGTGATTGAGGTCTACTTCCAGTGCCTTCCTTCCCTGACCCTGTCTTGCTGTGCACCTTGGGGACCCTTTGTGTGGGTAAAGGAAAGGATAGCAGCTCTTGCTCTGATCTGTCTGGCAAATCCCACACCCTTGTCTCAAGTTGCTCTTCTATGTGTTGAGGCCCCTTGGACTAGTGCGAGGCTGTTTATTTGGAGTCTACAGGTAGACCACAAGAGGGTTGTGGAACCCTTAAACAACGACTAAAATTGTTTCTATATGTATTTCAGGAAACATCGTTAAATCTAATATGTAAAGAACCATGGAGACTATGATGCCTCCAAAGGTATAAATCATCTGCCATTCTGATTTCTCAGGTCCCCAAAGTTTGATAAACATGTTCCTGGTGGTTTATAACATGATTGGAGTAGCACACATATACATGTTTGTTACATGAATGCTATATATTTGATATTAGAAAAAATATTGGCATGTGCCATTGCACAGATATTATTTCTTTGGAGCAAGCTGTCTTACTCTGAAGGAAATGTGAATTATATATATGTTCAGTAAATGCAGTTGTGCAAGGGTGAGTTGATACTTAATATAAGAAACAATGATTTGTAACCCCTTCCCCCCAAATCTGGTACAGTCAAGAAGAGCTGAATCTCAGAGAAGTGGAGAAAAGGCCACCGAGGAAGTGGACAGTATATCTAGGAGCATGACCTTTCTACCTCTCACAATTCTGATTTTCTCAAGTCTGCTTTGAGAATGTTCTCTGTTCTCAATGAGTTCCCACCTCGGTCACTGAGATGCTTTGAGGATAATGGCTTTTATCCTAGGAAAATGAGAAATACAAAGGAAGTCACATCTTCATCCTTGTGCCCCTCAGTGTGAAGAGTTACTCATAAATGTCTTAATGTTCCTGAAGTTGGGTGTACCATATAAAATTGTTATTTCTTAGGTAGTGCTTTCCTTGCCACAAACTAATACTACATGGGTAATTGTTTGACAAGGTGATTTTTTCATTATTTTTCTCCTCCAAAACAAATAACATTGAAAATTCTCAATCTGAAAGAGAAATTTTCTTAAAGTGAAAAACTCTCAACTCAAGCTGCCTCCCACCCACTGATCACAAGTTAGAGAAAATGAGTCATTGAGGCAAATTTGGAGACATACTCAGGCCCAGATTTCTAGATAGTATCCACTTACTCCATAGTCTCCTCTTCAAACCTCTATACCGCTTGAATTGACATAGGGCCTATCCCAGAAGTGTTCCATGCAGAACCTTCTAGAAGTAGCTTTCTAGAGATTTACAGTTTGGATCTTCAACAGGGGTTGGGGTTGATGAACCAAATTTCTTTATTTAAGTGGACTTTGTTCATTCTGATATCCAGTTCTTTTCCACATCTCCATTTTCTGGAGGGAGGGAATGTTCAAGACTGTTTTTCCAGATACATAGTGAGCTTAAAGTGGGCAGAGATGCTTGATTGGATGTGACAAATCAGTGTCTTTATTGAGCACTTTTGTTCTAGGTAGAAGGGAGACTGATGGGTTTTCACTTGTGGTTACCAAAACCAGGAGGAGGGGAGAGGGCTTCATGGGAGACACATCTAAGAACAGAGCAGCCTTTCTCAGAGCCGGGGTGCCTCTGCGTCCAACCGACTACTCCATTGAGAGCCTCAGGCTCTAAGCAACCAGGAGGCAGCCTTTAGAAGTCAATGGAAGAAATAAGCTGGAAAAGGTTGAAGGGAAAAAGCCAAGGGACGTGTAAGTAGAGGATTATATGGAGCCATTTAAAAGGACAAAAAGCAAGAATAACAAAGCAGCAGATGGAATCTGGCCCCGCATGGCCTTGCCAAGGAAATTCTGAGAAGCCCTGTGTAGAAAGGGTTCCCTTTATGTCCCGTGAAGCATTCATGATGTATCCTAGTTGAATTCTCAGGCTGTTTCTATGGCACTTATAAAAATTGAGTATAGCAGGGTTCATGTGTCCCTTCTCTTTCCAGCCTGTGCTCTCTTCTCTGCCTCCTGTAATAAATCTCTGGCTCCAATAAATTGTGAAAAAGAAAATGAGAAAAAAAATTGAGGTGGGAGGGGGAGAGGAGCTCCTGGCTGGTTTTGATGTTTCACAAAACAAAGAATTTCTCCAAGAGTAGAGTAAATGGTGTTTATTTTTTTTGTCAATTTTTCAATCAAATGGAATCGCTTAATTAAAAAAAAAACTTATCTTTCTTTTTAAATACTACAGACAACCTTATTTTACCGCAGCAGACACCTAGAAACAAAACACTGGACCCACCAGAGAAAACTGGGCAATAAAAGCATCAGAAATTCAAGTCAACTATGAGAGAATTACTGTTAGCTGGCAGCTCTCGATTCTAAACAAAGTGGCCCAAGCCTATCGGGTTGATAAAAGTTTCTTAGAACCGGGGAGTTGGGAAAGTTGGACTCCTTTTTAATCCTATTCCAATTGTTTTATGCATAGGGAAATTAAAGTCAATGCATCAAATGAAGACCCAAAGAAACATTTAAAAACTCGTTTGACTAATATTCAGTATGTGAGATTAAGTAATAACTTGTCTTCCTAGTTAACCTTGTCCTGAAATATATATAGGTTATTTGTAGCCGCCACTGCTATAATATTTTCTGAAGGATGCCAAGCTGTATGCAAGATCTTTTTGCTAAAGTCCAGACTGTCGACGCTGATCTCGTCTTTTCTCCGCTTGCCCCCCACGCACACTTTTCGGGGTTTGAGGATAGCCCGGGGTTTGCTGTTTTCCCTCGAGGCCTCAAGCGTCACATCCCGCTTGGTGTTTCGGTCAAACATCCTGAAGAAGTTGTTGTAGGACCCTGTCATGATGACACTGCAGGGTAGAGAGAACATAGGGAGTGACTGAGTGCTAGATAGAAACACAGCAACCTGTCCTCATTGTGTCTTTCTGCAGCAAATGACCCACACCACGGCCGTCTTATGGAACAACAGATTTATTTAAATGAAAAAACAAAACATGTTCTATACTTTGACACTGACTTCCTTTTAAATCACTAAGAGCAGTACATGCTTTGACTGGGTTTGGAAAAAAAAAGATGATGATAGTCCTTCTTGTTATCTATCTTTGTTCATTTGATTCCTTTTGGTTCTTTGGATTCCTGAGTCCAGTTGTAACCATCTTGCTTTACCAGCTTTCCATTAGGATTATGAGATAAGGGTGGTCCTCAGAAAGTAGAGATATTTTTGAAAAGAGCAAAATGTTACACATCTAGAAAGCACAGATGGGGGTTCCCTGCGCTGTCCGACCTCTGGGGGTTCTCTGCATGTGCCCGGTGGGAAATGGGCTGAGAGATGGCACGGTGGCCATGGGCAGCTTCTCCCTTCCCAAGAATAGCTCTAAAATTCAGCCTTTGCAGAAAGCTAATCTACAAAATGGATGTCACGGTCTTAACTCAGGAGGGGCATGAACAAAGTGAAATTTTAAAAGGATTTGCAACCACAAAGCAAGGTTTTGGAATGAATGGTCAGACAGCTTCTACATTTTTACAAGTTCATTCTTGGGAGATTTACAGACAGGAGAGCACTGAGTATGTAAAGCCCTCTAGCAGTGTAGTACTAAATTTCGAATGGTGACATTTTGGGTAGGGTGACATGCAGTGGGGAGGCAGTCCTTGGGTGTGGCATCTGCACATCTCTTCAGGTGCCACTCCAGGGACTTTATCTCATTAAATCTCAGTTCTTCCTCAACTACCAATGGGGATGATGAGAACAATGCTGTTGGATTGGGTTTGGGATGACATAAAAGGACATGGGGTGGAAGTGCCTGGCACATAGTGGATTCCTATTAAGTGTTTTTAAATTATAGCCTAAGATAGAAGGGAAACTGGGGCAATGATAACCAAGATATGTCAATAAATGGCAGCCAGGCATAGTGGTTTGTAGCTGTAAGATATAAGATCACAAGTTTGAGCAATTTAGTGACCCCTGTCTCTAAACAAAAAAAGACCAAAAAGGACTGGAGATGTAGCTTGGATAAGTCCTTGGGTTTAATTTCTAGTACAAATAAGTTATATTAACAATACATAAAAATGGCAGGGTTGGTTTCTTTTCCCAGTAGAGCTTCTGTTCATGCTTTGCTCTCTATCCTACACCAACTAGATAGTGTGACGTGGGACTTTTGGTTTGTGGTGACCCCTTTGCCCAGCTAACCACGTGGTTCATTTGGGTCAGTGGCAGAAAGAGAAAAGGCCCCAAATTGTGAAACAGACAGTTTGTGTTCACTCAAAGTGAAAAAATCTTGCCACCAAAAAAACTCATAAGCTATAAGCACCATTAGTTGTGCCACCTGCATCAGGGTACGAAACCAGCCCTCAGTAGCCTGCACCTAGCTCTCATCTGTATTTGTCAAACTGCAAATGAACTACAGGGAGGTATTATGAAGTATTGTTGAAATCAAAGGCCTTAAAACAGTAATAAATCACTTTGAGGGAATGTGATAAATGAGGCTGAAGAGAATTCAGCTAATGAACCACTGGGGTCTTTGGGCAGGTTTGCACTAACAGCTTTGAGGGATATTTTTTGATCTGGAAAGCTCACTTTGCAGTAATGGACACTGTGCATGCTGGAATTTACTGGGGGTGTGTGTGTGTGTCAGTGGTCTTCATTAGGCATGGTGACCCTGCCCACCCTGAAAGGGACCCAGGGTCTCGTGGCATCCTTCTCTTCTTTGTTGGCCTGACCTCAGGCTCCATCTAGTGACACACAATATATCCAAGCCAGGCCTGGTTTTGATTCCCCTTTGGCTGTAATCTACTTAAGAAAAATTGCCCAGAGCTGCCTCAAGGTGAGAGTGTTTCTGGAAGGTTCCTCAACCTCAGAACCATTCTTACCTGTCGGACCCATTCCACACACACTCAAATTTATCAAAAATGCAGTCATTTTCATAGAGGGAGCACAACTTGCTGCGGAGGTAGTCATGGACCTGGGAGGAAACATCAAGAAGAGCAGTCACCATCTAGAAAGTGAACATTCCTGCCAGCTCCTCCTCTTCTGCCATGAACTGTTCATCTCTGTGTACCTGTGCCTTGAATCAGCTGGATCTGTGGGCAGGACTGGCCCTTCCTAGATGTTAGGGTGGGTAGATGAGCCGATCTATTAGCCAGTGTGCATTAATCCATCTTGGTTACAGGCCTAGCACAAGGCCCAGTAGGGGGCAGAGTCCCATTTTTCTAAGCTGACTTGTACTTAGACATTTAAGAGACCATTATCCAAACTTTTATTCTGTTAATATTTACTCATTGTCCGCTGTGTGCTTGGATATTTGCAGTGAACAAAATATTTTTGTGAAGAGACTCCAACATTGGAGAAAAGACTGTGTAGCCAAATTAATGCATGAGATTATGAAACATAAAGGCATGGAAAAGGCCGTTGGGAGGTCTGGGGGTATTATTTTGTGTAGATTAAGGTGCTGAGGTTTCACTTGATAAGGCACTACAGGGGAGCAGAAGTTTGTTTGGAAAGGGTAAGCCACAATGATATCTTGGGGAAAAGCTTTCCAAGCATGGGGGCAGCATTTGTGAAGGCCCAGAGGTGGGAGTCCTGGAAGAAATATGGTGGAGGCAATAAGTTAGTAGATGACCAGTTCACATAGGCCCTCTATCCTGAGGAGGATGAAGAGACATTGTAGAAAGGATCATTAAGTGTGGTGTATTGGGATAGACTGTAAGAGTAAAAATACTAGGGTGGGGAGACCAGTCATTACTGGCTGACACATGATGGCTTAGACCAGGGGCAGAACAGGGGTAGGATGCATTCAAATTCTAGATGTGGTGAGGGGGAAAGCTGAGAGGAGTTGGGTTAACTCTGAGGTGCAAAGAGAAAAACAGGAATCAAAGATGGGGTCTTTCTCCTGAGAAAGTAGAAAGTGAGAATGCCCTGCTCATTCCTGAGTATGATTATCTGGAGTCATTTCAGCAAGTGCAGTTGCTAGGTAGACACCGGGGAAAGGTGCAGCAGGAGGATGTGGGGTTCTCTTCTGTTTCCATTTTCTAGTGGAAGAAGCAGGAAGGTTACCACCCGAGAGTGGGTAGGGGCATGGCGTGGGGGGAAGCAGGGTGGGACTGCTTGGGGGCACTTGGTATTGGCCATGAATTTTGGATGAGACTGGGCAGGACCATGGGGTGCTTTCCTCCAGCAACACTCAGAAACTCAGGTGCAGATGTAAATAGGCAGATGAATAAGGCTTAGAGGGTAGTGTATACTGGGTTTCATGTTTTGAGAGTAATATTTCCTGAACACACTAGTAAAAAGTGGTAATAATTATGGGTATTTGCAATATGCCAACTGGCTATTAATGGCCCAGTGCTTTATTTATACTACCTTGTTTCATTTCTAAAACCATTTTTTTGATGTAGGTATCATCATTCTTTTTAATGGAGCATGGAGCACAGGAATGGAAAATGATTTGTCTAAGACTGCAACAGGAGAATGAACCCAGTATTCAGGATCTAAAGTGCTACTATCACGCTCCAGCTCATTAGTCTCACCTTAGACAGGGTCTCAGTCTTAGGAGCCAGGACGGTGAGTGCACGTGAGGTCAGAGGAAAAGAGACCGAAGTGGGAGAAGGCAGAGGGATATTACCAAGATGGTGTTTAAGTTTGGATTAAAAAGGGATGGTTCACTCTCCTTCCTCCTACAGATTGACCCCAGGAGCTCTGCTGGATGCTGAGCCTGGAGGCTCTGCTGTGTGCTTAGTATTGCCAGAAGAATGAGGTCAGGTCCATCCTCCGCTACACTGAATGGCTGGAATATTTGAACAGGCTGTCTGAGTTATTTGGCCAGTGTAAGTAGTCCTAACTTTGCAAACTAATTTTCTTCACCTTTAGTCTCACTCTCAGTTTTAAGGTAACTGCTATCATGTTAGGGTAGCAAGAGAATCCACCAACAGTAGAACTTTTGGGAGTGTTAGATCGTTGAGGCCTGACTCCTATCCTCCCAGAGGCTTTTCTACTATAAATTAACTCACTAACCTCTTTCTCCTAAAAGCAGAGAGTGAAAGTTTACAAACATTTCAGTGGTGTGCCCTTTAAGACCTCACTCCATCTGCCCTCTTCTTTATGAGCCTTTATTGATCGCTCACCATCCATCTTTGGCATTTTGTTTCATAGAAACACCACAGGTGTGTACAAGTGTCAAATGTCTGTGCCATGGGAGGGTAGGTGTTTCACAAGTAACCATGTTGCTGAGACTCTTGAAATCTCAAAAGACAAAAATTGGGAAGGATTCAAGGGAAAAGGTAATCTGAATCATTATTTTTCCTTTCCAGCCCATGTTCTGGAAGCCCCTATCTATCTCCATTTGAGGGCATTTAAAGAAAAAGAACACCTAGCTACAAAGATATACTGCATTTATGTTCTGTTGTGGTAAAACAAACTAATCCCCCAAAACTAAGACAAAGCAGAAGGACTTTCTCCACCAAAAAAGAGTAAAACATGCAAAGGCCAAACAGCTGGAGCATGGAGCAAGAGAGCTTTGACCTCATTTTTAAGTCATGCAACTTTTTTTCTCTTTGCTGTGATGCTATTACTTGTGTGTGGGCATCTTAACACTATACCGAGTCTTCCACCAGTTCTGAAGCTCTTGGTTGTGGGAGTCTCTTTTGTAGCTAATGGACTGCTCTTTAGGCTCTGCAGGGAAGTATGCTATTGATTTGTTTTTAAATTCCTGGTATTGTGAAATGTCTCCAGTAAAGGGCCGGATCAGTGGTAGTGAACCCATGGCACGGGTGCTATAGCAGGCTTTCTGTATCGTTGAAAGCTCTAAAAGGTTCACCATCACTGGGCTAGGTACAAACTGAGTATCCGTTACCCAAAATGCTCAGGATCAGAAGTATTTCAGACTTAGGAATATTTGTACATCCATAATGAGCTATCTTGAGAGGAGTCTTAAGTCTAATATGAAATTCACTTGTTTTTCAAGGTGTGTGCACCTTAGAAATGGTCTGAAGTTAATTTTATATAATTTTGTGCATGAAACAAAGTTTGTGGTACATTAGATTAGGCATGGAATTTTCAGTTGTATATCACATAGGTGTTTGAAAAGCTCTGGAATTTGGTGTATTTTGGATTTCAGAATTTTAGATTTAGGATGATGAATCTATAATAAATACTTTAGGTCTTTCACAGCTACTCTGGCAATGTGGCACAAAGTAGCCTTAGACTCTGTAAATGGTTGAGAGTGGTTGGTGCCAATCAAACACCATTTACAAAAATGGATGTGGAGGAACTGGATTTGGCCTGTGAGCTACAACTTGCTGCTGCTGTTCTCTAGGAAAACTTAACAGGAGCGATGTTTACAGCTTCTTATTCATAGATGCATGCTTGCAGACTGTTTATGCATGTGTAAAGATGCACAGTAGTGTATTACTACTCTTCCTGGTCAGCTGTTTCCCATTACAGTGCACAGTATTTTCCAACACTGTTATAGGTACCAACTGAATCAGAGTCTACCATTTTTATATAGTATATTATCACCTTTCATATAGTCTATAAACTTAATGATGTTTCCTTGAGACCTACCATTCTGTGTTAAAATGTTTTGTTATTTCATTTTAATACATGTGCTCTGATACTTGTTTCTTACTATTCCGGAAAGAAGTTATTTCCAAATCTTCTACTAGCTGAACCTGGGATTCAGAATCAGAAACTTAAAATGATTTCTACTTCATGTCACAACTAGCTTGCTGTGTTCTAAAACTAGCTTTGTTCTAAACCTTTCCTTAAAATAAAAGCTCTAATTGCTCTTGCCACAGTATGTCCTAAATCTGCTCTTTCCTCCAGCGGGCTACACCTCTGCAAACACCACCCACATCCGGGTTCCATCTCCCCTTACCCCTCTTGTGTACTGGGCTTGTAACATTGTACATTTGTCTTACACAAGGAAGAGGGCACTAGGTCAGTCCTGTCCTTGGGCTAAACAATGAGTTTGGGATGAGTGAGATAGTGCAGAAGTCTGGGCAGCATTCAGGGGACAAAAGGACTCTAGCATATAGAGGTGCTCCTTGAACCACAGAGTAACAGTGGTGTCTTAACTACATACTGGGCCGTGAATCCTGGCTCTTCCCCTCATCTCCAGTGCCTCTGAGACTATAGCTTGTCCTCATTCTTGTGCCTTCTCTGAACTCTGGCTTCTCCTGTGGCCTCTCCCGTGTCTTCATCTTTGCTCCGTATGTCAAGATAGGGTAGGCGGGCTCTTTGCTGCTCCTGAAAACCATCCTTTTTTCAAGTCCTCACCTCCTTTGAAGTCACACTTTCAAACTGTCCTTCCTGCCACCCGTCCTTTAGGCACTAAAAGTTCTCAGAGGCTGTAGTGATGCAGCTCTGCCATCTCCATCTGTCTTTCATTCTTCCCAGGATTCCTGTGACTCAAACACCCTGGACTCATCATATTCAATAGGTTCTGTCATCGGTTTCCTTGGTTATGGAATAACTTTGTCATCACTATAACTGTGTCTCCTGAGCAAGTCACACTGATGCTACTTTCTACCTTTTTAGTTTATTCCCACTAGTATTTTGATTCTATCAATAGTTCAAATCCATTAACCCAACACCTTTCTCCTGTCCATAATTCACTTTATCACTACCTTAGGTTGTAATTATAATGATAGGCCTCTCACTCTCTTAGCACACACATTTAACCAGCTTTCCTTTCTCTTTTCATTGTACTTGCTTGGAAAACCTCAACTCTGGTGAATCTAACTTTGTGCCCTTTCTTTACCTATACCAGGCAAATGTGGCTGGGAAGAAGCACAGCCATACAGATTGGTGTTTAGATCAGCAGATTAAACTCATGTAGATCCTCAGGCAACCCTATAGCAGTTCCCTTGTCATCATTCTTACTCAAGTGATGATCTTGCTTCTTATTTTACCAAGAAAACAGGAACAATAAGAGCACCTCATGTTCCTGTCACAGAATTTATAACCTGCTGCATCAGGAGCTATATATAGTACTTCCCTTCCCTTGAGAGGTGGATTTCCATCCTCCCATGCAATGGGTTACATCCCTTCTTGGTTTTCTCAAGAACCTTCTCTTTCTATTGTCAGTCTCTCTTTACTGCCTTATTCCCATTAGCCCAAAAACACGCTATAATTTCCTTCAGCTTGTATCCCATTCTAGTGACTAACCTAGTTCTGTTCTCATTCAGACCAAATTTTGTTGAAAGAGCTGTCTGTCTGTCTGTTCCATCCTCTCTGCCTCTTAAGCCCACTTCATTCAGGTAAGCATTTCCCATACTCCACTTACATTTCCATTAAGATTACTGGTAATCTCCATATTACTAAATCCAACGCTCAGTTCTTAGTTCTTTTGTGTTCAACTTGGCACCAGCATGTGACAACTGGGTGATTTCTTCCAGCCCAAGATATTTCTTTCATTTGGCTTCTTGGACATTCCTTTCAGTTTCCCTTGTACCTCACTTGCCATTTTGTGGCTCCAGTATTTCTTGCTAAATATCTTCATAACTCAGTTTGTAAGTGCTGGGGTTCCAGAGCCCAATTCTTGAACTCCTCTCTAGTATTCTCATTGTCCGGGGAAGTCTTTGAGTCCTAAGGCTGTAAGGGGCCTCTATGTACTCATGAGTATCAAATTTATATCTTGAGACTAGAGAAATTTGCTGATCTATGTGGCACCTCTGTATGAATGTTTAATTGCCTTGATATGTGAAAAGCCAAACTCATTTCCTCATTTAAATAAAATGGCAGTTCCACTCCCTTAATTATTCAGGATTAAAACCTTGGGATGACCTTTGGTGCTTTTTTTCCTTTTACATTACACATCAAATGTCCTCAGATCCTAATGGTTTTACCATGGAAATATATCAAGAATACAGTCACTTCTACTACTAACACCCTCATCTAGCTACTATCAATTTTTTTCTAGAATATTGCAATTACTTTTAAAACTATGATTCCTAGCTTATATCTCTTCTATGGCTTCCCTCAACCCTTCTGGCATAATTAGTGATTTAAGAATTTTAAAAATCAAAAAAACTCTGTGATTAAAATGTTTTGAAATTAGTGGTAATGGTTCTACAACTTTGTGAATTACTAAAAACCCATGATGCTGTACACTTTGTAAAGGTGTCCATTATGATATATGAAGTATATCTCAAGGGAACAAATATGTCAAGTCTCACTGTCTAGAATTATCTTACCCAGCTTCATTTACCTTTTTAAAAATTTTATTTTAAAGATGGTAAATCAAAACATAACAAAACAGAACAAAGCTGATCAGAAGAAAACAATGTAAGTGACATAGCTTTCAAAGCAAGAAAATAGATTATCACTAGCTACTTGTTTTTTTCTAAATAAAGTTGTCCATATCTTCATACACAATGAATTCATACAAAACAAAATAGTATTAAACTGATCAGAACAGAATTATGAAGGCATTGTAGGCCTTCAAAACCAGACAATAGGAAAATCAATAATGGCTGACATACTGTCTCTTGTTCTCTTCAAAACAGCTGTCCTTACCTTCGTGTATGTTGAAATTAAACAGTACAAAACAGACTAACATCATTCTGAACAACGAATAATGGCAGTACTGGGTTTCACAGCATGATGATACAGAATCAGCAATGCATACCATAATGTCTCTTTTCCTTCACAGTCTGCTTCTTTTATCTAATGTAAGATTTTAGGATAGGACCGGTGTATCTCTGTCCCTTGATCTTTGCTTCCACTTTACGCTTACCTGGAGTTAGCGTCTTTAGATCTTTTCTACCTCAGTCTGGTCTTCTGCATTCAACTAAACCATTCTAAAACAATGCCCTTCCCTTTTCCCCCGTTGTCAGCTTTTCTAACACCATCTACCTAATGCTTAGATCAAATCTGCCATGCAGTGTTCTTGATTCCTCTTCCCTCCATATTCAATAGGTAGGCAAATCTCCCTCTCCTGGGCTGGCAGGTCATCATGCAGCCCAAATCACCACCATCTCCTATCCTTTGGTCTATCTGTCAAAGTGTCCATGTGAAGTGCACAAAAATCTCTATGTCATTCATATGCATAAAACCTGGTTATGGATCTCCTTTGTATTCAGCCAAAGATAGAATAATCTACATTATCATAATCTGCCTCTCCAAGCTCATCTTCTACCCTTATGTTCAATATTCAAGGTAAACTTTCTCAGTACAACCCCACTTCTCTCTTACTGTTTTAAGAACATGCTTTTTCTGACTAGGTCATGGTATCAAGACTTAGCTAAAGGCTCCTTTCTTCACTTTTCTCAATGGGTCAGTGTCCCGGTGTTCCTGCAGAACGAGCACCATTCCTTGCAAAACTGTACACTCAATTCCTTGTTCATCATGCAAGTTTTTCATCAGAGGTCAGGTCCATAAAGTAGGACCACGCTTGTCTTGCTCACTCGATCTATGTTCTCATTCCATGTTTGCAGTCCATACGGTGAATTCTAGCTTCTCTATGACTAAACCCTTAGTTTACATCCTATGGCACATGCAGCCTGCACCATTTTATTGACTATGTCACACTATGTGCATAGTGTGTACACACTATGTACTGCCTTTTATTCTGCCACATTGCAAACCTGTGCAGGCAGAAGCGTTCCTAAAAGCACACAAAGGGAGTATCTGGGGTGGGTGGCATTGTGTACCTGGTAAGTCTCGATGGGGCGGTTTTCCATGTTGAGATCCCAGACTTTCACGGTCAGATAGTCCCTGGTCATGATATACCTCCCACTGTGGCTGAACTTCACATCCGAAATCGAAGAGATGATTTCAGAGAAAAACGATCGGTTGCTTGGATCTTCCGGCTCTTCAAAAACTGCAAAACAAAAGCAAAACAGGATGAACTTCTCACATCTTCATCAGTGAGCTCTGCTATGTTTGGGTCAGCCAGAAAGCCAACTGTAGAGTCTGATGCAGTAGGGCTGGCTAGTGTCTGCAGGCTGTAAGCAAGTTGCTAGTAGAGACCACCAGCTCCGTGAAGCAGAAAAGGTTGTGGCTAGTGTCACAATCCTTTCTTTTGGAAGGATCACATGGGACCTACCCATGTGCAGAACTGGGACTACTTCAAGTTGCTGATTGATACACCTAACTCTGTTTCACATTTCCTCTGGTCTCTGGTATCACCTCATAACTATAAACGTGGAATCATCTTAGATGCTTAAATGTTTCTATTTTATAGGTTAACCGAGATATAAATGTACTTATCTTAATTGTACAATTCAGTGGCTTTTTATTAGCACATATTCATGCAGCCATCACCACGATTTAAATTCAGAATATTTTCACCAATCTCCTCCAAAAATGCCTCCATAACTATTGGCAGTTACTCTATTATGCAGTCTCAGCAAACATGAAATCTACTTTCTACTTGTTATGCTAGAAATTTCACATAAATGGGAATCATTTATGCCCAGTCATTGCGGTCAACTATGCCTGGCTTCTTTCATTTAGCATATTTTCAAGTGGCATCCACATATCTGTATTTTATTCTTTTTATGACTGGCTAATATTTCATTGCATGGATCTCTCATGTTTTGTTTATCCATTCATCAGCTGGTGAACATTTGTGTTATTTTCACTTTTTAGGTGGTATGTATAATGTTGCTATGAATATTCATGTAGTTTTTTATAGACATGTTATTTCTCTTGGATATTAGCATTTCATGTAGAACTCTGCTCCTTAACTACCTTGAGCTGAAGGTCAAAATTGCATTTACTTGTTGTGTGACCTTGGCCAACGTGTTTCTCTGTGACCTAGGTGTCTTCATGGTAGACTGTCGCTGTAGTATCTTCTGTGGAAACTGTCTGCTTGATCTGATTTCTGGGCTCTCACTATCTTTCTCCCTAGCTCCAGATTTCCACTGACAGGATGGAGGGCATGACTCCTCAGTATGGTATGGAAGCCCATCACAAAGTGAACTCTGACTTAGGTTGGGTGTACAGAACATGTCTTGCCCATTCCCATTCCTGTGTGCTGTCTGATTATTCCTTCTAAGTTCTCCTCAATTTCTATACCTCATCAATTACATATATCTCCCTCCAAATCTTTTCTTTTCTCTGGAGCTCTAGCATATATGGTCAGGCCATTTATTTAGTATTTGCTTAGGTACAGGTAATATCATTATTTATCACATGATTATTTAGCAGTTTGAATTCTTATGTCTTCAATAGGATGTGAGACTAATACAATGTGAGATTCTTTAGGGCAGGGTTTTGTTTTACTTATCTTTGTATGGAAAATCTTATACACAAATGTTCAATAAACATCTGTTACTTGATTGGAACCAAAGTCAGATAATGAGTTTTGCCTTCTGGAGTCTTAGCATGCATTAGGTTGAACCATATGCATTTGCTGATACTCAATTATTTTTGACCTATAAAAATGGCAATTGCATATGGTTCAACCTACTAAAGGCTTGCTTTTTATCATGATTTTAGGCTGAGCTAACATTGGCCTGCAGGCTGCTGAGTTAACTCAAACTCCAAGGCTTCCTTGGAACCTGATCCATGCATTGTCAGTAATCAGTGACTGGTAGAAAGCCTAAGTGTGAGTTCCCTTTCAAGTCATGCTGAACTAAACCCAAAGCCAAAGCAATGATAATTTTCACAGAGCCACTTAAGAAAACAAACCCCCTAATCAATAAGAAATGAGCTTGAGAATTAGAAAACTTATTGTGACAAAAAATAGGGTTTATTAGAGTTTCTGACCCAACATTTGGATCTTTGCCCTAATTTAATCAAGTATTAGTATAGGCCTCTGGCTTCTGCTTGGTTCTTTGTAACTGAAGACTTAGAAAAGAAAAATTTCACATGCGTTTCAACTCAGAAAGAGTCCTGGGAACTGGGGATAGTGGTAAAGGGAGGAGCCCCCAAGGCTTGGTAGCCTCTTCGTGGCCTCCACCTGCAGAGACAGCAGGAGGTAGGGAGGAGGAAGCCTTGGCGCATCGCACGGTGGAGCCAGTCAGCTCCATTCCCAGCACTGACCGGCCGTGCACATTTGATTTACTGCTCTCGCTTCAGTGTTCCCTGTTGCAAAGTAGGGATTCACTTTGCTTGGCACATTAGCATGATACCCAGCTGGTCCTTGATAACATCCAGCCACCACTTTGATTGTTAACATGTGCCACTTCTGTATTGACTAGTCCTAGCTCGGTCATCAAAACCCTTGAGAATGTGGGACCGAGGGTACAGAGCCTGAGTGCTGTTTAAAAGACAAAGCATGATGACAAAGAGATCCTTTACAAGGGTTTTTGTCTTTAGTTCAAGTTTGTTTTTGAAAGGACAGAATTGTATTTGCTTATGGTACTTTTCAGTTTTATGCATAGGAATGTCTTTCCCAAATTCTTGGCATATTGGAAAGTCAGAGTAGCAGCACTTAAAGCCTCAGAATGATACCCCAACAAGGAGGAGGTGAAATGAAAGAGATGCTTTTTCATCAACCTCTAGTCCTTGTGCAGTGCTGCTTGGCACAGGACCAATGGCAGGGTCTGGAGAACTTAGCAGCACAGTTTATGGCCCTTTTGTGAATATTCAAGTTCTGATGTCAACTACATGAACTCTTTCCATTCTTTCATCAGCATTTAATAGTGTCAGTAATTACTGTTAATGTGAAGCTTTGTAATATTCTCGGGGCCCTGTGATTTGCACATTTTATCTCATTTAATCCTTGCCGCAGTCTCTAAAGTGGGAACAATGATTCCTTGTTTTATATCTATGGGATGTTAAGGCACAGAGAGATTCTGTAACCTGCCCAGGGACACACAGTGTCTTTGTTCTTAATCATGATGCAGTCTACCTTGTACTGGGCACAGGACCTTGCTGAACAATCATTTTATTTTTTAAAAAATTTTATTTAAAGAAAGAAAGAAGGGAAAAAATAGAAAAAATGAGGAAAAAAATAGAATATAGAATTCAAAAAATTAATATCATAAAATCACTACTTGACACATTACGTATTGTTATCTTAACAATAGGTGTTAAAGTTACAAAATCAAAGCATAAAAAGTGGCTAGACACTCAAACATTGATAGTGCACACTCTTCTGTTCAGTGATCCAACAGAAATTTAGTAATTTATGGTCATCTATCTTACACACTATACATACCATTATATCAGAGCACTTTCCTTCCCTTTCACTTTTATAATATCTATTATATTTTTGGGATACCATTATTCACTCAGTTATTTTTTTATATACTAGAGAGATGATGTGATATTTACTAATGTGAGTCTTGTTTATTTCACCAATGAGGATAGTCTCAAGTTGCCTGTATTTACCTATAAAGGTCTCAAGATCATCCTTTTTATAGCTGAGTAGTATTCCATTGCATAAAAATACCACATTTTTTTCTTTTTTTTTTTTTTTTTTTTTTTTATTTAAGAGGAAAAAGAGAAAAACACAAAACAAACCAAAGCGGCGTAAGGGTACACGCAATACAGAACTACAAAACAAAACAAAACAAAACAAAACAAAAAACCATAACAGTAAGAAATTACCTGCTAGTAGATTACACACTATTTTCTTGAAAATAGTTCCTCAAATCACAGTATCAAAGAACACAAGGTGGACATTCAAACAGGGAGACTGCAAACAGCTGTGTTCAATGTTCCAAAAACATTGATAAAGTCAGCTATTTAACACCCCCAAACACACTTGCTGTTATATCCGTTAGAGCTCCTTTTCTTTTTTTTTTTTCCCTCTCTTTTTTACAACAAAATTTACACATCTTGGATTTTATTACTCCTTAGTGCTTATTACTTTCTTTGGGGGGGGGGGAAGAATACAGTCAAATATGGCAAAACAAAGCTGTCAGTCAATACCAAGGATAGACGTAGCACATGGTGTAGAACAGAGTACAAGTTTATCAACAATGGTTATCAACGTTGTCCCTTGTTTCCTTAAAAAGAATTGTCTATCTTATTAGATATTATAAAGTTGGACAAAACAGTAGAGAACAAGACCAATAAAACTCAGGCATTGTAAACATTACAGGACTTCCAAAGAAGACAATAGTCAAACCAGAATGGGTATCTTAGTGAATCTTATTGTCTTCAAAGTAGTTGCCTATGTCTTCAAACTTGATACTATCATATAGAATGGAACAGAGTCTAATCAGTCAAAACAAGATTGTGGGAGTACTACAGGACTTCAAAACAAGTTAATAGGGAATCGAAAAGAGTTACTATTTATATATCCTAATTTTTTTGAATTTTTTCTTTAATTAAGACAAACATAAGAAATGACTAAATAATTTTTTTTTGAAACAATAAGGGGGAGATTGAGATAAAACAGGACATAACAATATAACAATAGAGGTCACAGCATGACTGTTTCAATAACCTAGTACTTCACCACCTTATAACCTGACTTAATAGTAGTTACCATAGTGTCTTTTTCCTTGAAATATTTGGGTAAAACTTCATATACTCTAGCTTCAAATATTTTCATATCAAGAAGCCCAGAATAAAGCCTTTCTAATTAATGAGTGAAAACTTTATAAGGCTTCAAGGCCACCTAATGGGGAATCATGATTACCACGTATTTTTATATATTTGAATCATTACTTACATTAGGGAAACTATTCGGTATTCACACATGCGAGATTGATTTATTTCACTTATGAGTATGGTCTCAAGCTGTGCCCATTTATTGATAAATATCTCAATGTGATCCTTCTTTATAGCTGAATAATACTCCATTGTATAGAAATACCACAACTTTTTTATCCATTCCTCAGTTGATGGGCACTTGGGTTGTTTCCAAGATCTGGCGATTACAAATTGTGCTGCTATAAACATAGGTGCACATATATCACT